CTTGTTCCCCCTACGGAAGTGTATGAGAAATAATGGGCCACGGCGTGCATACTGTGTCTAATGCGCGTTGTTCTGCCACCTCCATCGTTTCAGTTGCCCGTTTTTGTAACTTGTGTGGCAATATACTTCGATCGTAGCATTTGCACCTCAATGAACACGACTCTGAGCAACCAGGGTGGACACGATTGATTGAGCATGGTAGCCTCGAAGGCCCTCTTAAAGGGGCCGTCCGAGGTAATATTCTCTTTGGGGAGGCGGCTATCAGTTTTCGAGGAATGATACGTGCTGCGTTATTGCCATGTTGCCCCAAGTGCAGGCGATGGTAATGAGCTTGCATCGTAGTTTGATGTACTGATTAGTGCCGCCCCCAAAGCATTCATGCCGTTGGCTGGTCTTATCAACGACGTCTGGTTTATACTTTCATCTTGTTTCTCCAGATTTTATACAGCCCATATGTCCCAAGCGTTCACCGTATCAGTAGGGCGACGATGAGTTCGATAGGCTCAAGTCAAGTTTGGGGTTGCGAGATAGTGCAAGGCGAGCTCATACTTGGAGTCGCGAACCCATTGCTATTGCATCAGACACAGTGCGCTGTATGCGCTCCTCGCGTGATGACCAACGAAATAAGAATGGATGCCGAGTGGCCACGGCCACGTGGATGACGCATTCGGTGATTTCTGAGAGGATTAGTTGATGCGAGTGACCTTCACGAAAGACAGCACGGCAGCATCGTCTGATCCCTGAGCGCGTTGGCACCACACTGGACCCTGCCTCGTGCGGGCTTCATGGTCACCGGATTGGCCAACCAGGGAGGGGGCGCACTGCGCTCCCGCACCTCCTTGCTCCCTCCCGCCTCCTGCCTCCCTCGCTCCCTCCCTTTCCGCTCCCTGCTCCCCGCTCCCTTCTCCCTCCCCCCTCCCCTTCTCCCTCCCAACCCGCCTCCTCACCTCCTCGTTCCCCTTCCCCCCTTCCCTGCATGCTCCGTTCACCCTCTCTCCTCTATCCGCCCTCCTCCCTCCGTTCCTCTGCCTCCCCTCCCCCCTGCTTCCTCCGCCCCTGGCTCCCTCCGTGCCCCGCTCCCCCTCTCGTTGCTGCCTCTGCCCTTGCCACTGCCCACTCCCCCTGCCCCCCAAGTTGTTGTCCCTGTCCTCCATCCCCTTTTCTTCCCCCCCTCTTCTGCCTCCAAGTAAACTCCTCGTCCCCCGCCCCCTCCCCATCTCCCATCGCACCTCCCTCCTCGCTCCTACCTCCTCTTTCGTTGCTGCTTCGCTGCCCGCTTTCTAGTCTCCCCGCCTCCCTTCCTCGCCCTTCCTTCCCTACCTTCTCTTTTGCCTTTTGCGATCCAGTCTTCCTGCTGGCGCGCCTCCTCGTCCTCCTTCTCCTTGCTCGGCGTGGCTCTCAAGGGGTGTGCTGCACCGAGGGCTGCTCCCATTTCTGGCTGACTGAAGGCCCCCGAGTGCTCCCGCAAGGTGGCAGGCGCGGGGTGTCGCTGCGGGGGGGATGGGGGGGGGGATGGGGGGGGAGGCGGGGGATGGAAGAAGAGCATGATGACGATGATGATGCTGATGATGATGATGATGATGATGATGAGGAGGAGGAGGAGGAGGAGGAGGAGGAGGAGGAGGAGGAGGTGGAGTTATTGCTTGGGACGAGGAGGCGGATGAGGTGGTGGGCTGGGACTAGAAGTGGGATGATGGTTATGATAACGAGGAGAGGGAGGATGAGGATGAGGATGAGGATGAGGATGGTGATGAGGATGATGATGACGATGAGGATGAGGATGATGATGATGATGATGATGATGATGATGATGATGATGATGATTATGCTGATGATGATGATGGTGATGATGATGCTGCTGCTGATGATGCTGATGCTTCTGATGCTGATGATGCTGTTGTTATTACTGCTGTTGTTATTGTTGTTGTTCAGATTGTTGATGATGATAGTGATGATGCTGATGCTGATGCTGATGATGATGGTCATAGTGATGGTAATGGTGGTGGTGGTGATGGTGATGATGACGCCGATTATGATGATGAATGTCCTTCTGCTGATGATGATGGTGATCCTGATGATAGTGTTCATGATGATGATGAGGATTATGATTCTGATGATGATTATTATGGTGCTACCGCTGGCGATGATGTTGATGATGATGCTGCTGATTGCTGCTGCAGATTATTATGCTGGTGATGATGTTGTTCCTGTCGGTGATGACGATGATGATGATACTGACGATGATAATGATGACGACGATGATGATGCTGATGATGATGGTGCTGATGATGATGCTCATGCTGATGATGATGATGATGCTGATGCTGATGCTGCTGCTGCTGATGATGATGATGATGTTGCTGATGCTGATGCTGATGATGATGCTGATGCTGATTCTGATGGTGATGATTATGGTGATGGTGATGGTGATGGTGATGCTGCTGATGATGCTGCTGCTGATGATGATGAGGATGATGACGCTGGTGCTGCTGATGATGATGATGATGCTGATGCTGATGCTGCTCCTGCTGCTGATGCTGATGATGATGCTCATGTTGCTGCTGATGATGATGGTGATAATGATGATGATTTTGATGCTTACAATGCTGATGCTGATTACGACGATGATGATGCTGATGCTGATGCTGATCATGCTGATCATCGTGATGCTGATGATGACGATGCTGCTGCGGATGCTGATGCTGATGCTAATGCTGATGATGCTGATGTAAAGGAGGCTGAATAACAATAACAGCAATCCAAGTACGACCAGTACTATCAATAATAACAATACGAACACTAATACCGATAATACTATGAAGACCGATACCACCAATAATACTAATATCCAGAACACGAAGAACAACACAACTACTAATACTTCGGCTAATACACGTAATACCACCATTATGCACATTACGAACACTAATGCGACTTATACTGCTACCATTATGGTTACTGTTACTAAGCATACCAATACTAATATTTTCAACAGTTCGACACACCATAGTATTAGCACTTTAAATCCAACGCTACTATTATTAGTATTAATAAGAAGAGTATTGAAACTAAGAAGACTACCACTAATGACACTTTTAGTTATACATGACGATACTCGTGAGAAGACTAAGCGGGTGAGGATGATGACGATGATGACGACGAATACGACGACGATGCTGATGCTGATGATGATGATGATGATAATGGTGTTGAGGATGCTGATGATGATGTTGATGTTGTTGTTGATGATGATGCTGCTCATGACGATGATGCTGCTGATGATGATGGTGCGCCTGATGATGATCATGGTGATGGTGATGGTGATGATGATGATGACGATGACGATGATGATGATGATGATGATGATGATGATGATGATGATGGTGATGATGATGATGTTGATGATGATGATGATGATGATGATGATGATGATGATGATGATGATGATGATGATGATGATGCTGATGATGATGATGATGATGAGGAGGAGGAGGAGGAAGCGACGAGGAGGAGACGAGGAGGATGATGATGAGGACGAGGTGACGAGAAGGAGGAGGAGGAGTAGGAGGAGGAGGTGGAAGGGGAGGAGGAAGAGAAGGAGGTTGAGGACGACGTTGGCAGACAGGGAAAGGAAGAATGAACGGCGGGAGAACGTGATGATGAGGATGTTGGAGATGGGGATGGGGAGGAAGAACATGAGGAGGCGGAGGCGGAGGCGGAGGCGGAGGAGGAGGAGGTGGAGCAGTTGGAGGAGGAGGAGGAGGAGGAGGAGGAGGGCGAGGAAAAGGAGAAGGATGAGGTGACGGGGGGAAAAGGACAGGTGGATATTGGGGATGTGGCGAAGGAGGAGGAGGATGAGGAGGAGGAGGAAGAGGAGGAGGAGGAGGAGGAGGAGGAGGAGGAGGAGGAGGAGGATGAGGTGGTGTAGGTGGAGGTGGAGTAGGCTGAGGTTGTACGGGAGAAAGAGGTGGTCGGTGAGGTGAAGGTGGAGCACGAGCGGGAGGAGGGGCGCGGGGGGAATGAGATGACAAGAAAGATGCGGAGACAGAGCAAGGGTCCAGTGGGGAGGGAGCGGAGAGGGGTGGTGCGGAGGAGCAGCAGGGGGAGGAGGTGGGTTCCCCAGGAGGTGATGGAGCTGGATGGGTGCGGGAGGGAGGGAGGGAGGGATAGAGAGAGAGAGAGAGAGAGAGAGAGAGCGAGAGAGAGAGAGAGAGAGAACGAGAGAGAGAGAGAGAGAGCGATAGAGAGAGAGAGAGAGAGCGAGAGAGAGAGAGCGAGACAGAGATAGAGGGCGAAAGAGAGAGAGAGAGAGAGAGAGGAAGAGAGACAGAGAGACATAGAAATAATCTGATGAAGACACAACATACAACATAATGAGCAGATGGTGGGGTGGGTGGGGGAGACGGGGAATCACAGAGAAACAGGGCAGGGAATAGGGAAGGTGAACGGAGGAGGGGATGTGGAGTAGGGGAGAGACGTGGCGGGGGGAAGAGGAGGATGGCGATGGCCATGATGAAGGTGAGGATCCTGGTGGTGATGGTGGTGGGAATGTTGTGATCTGGCGGCGACCGAGTAACACGATGCGGAGGAATGCCTGGGATGATGCTGCTGCTGATGATCATGATGCTGCTGCTGATGCTGCTGCTGATGATGCTGCTGATGATGATGCTGATGATGACGATGATGATGCTGACAATGATGATGCTGCTGCTGATGCTGATGATGCTGCTGATGATCATGACGATGATGATGATGATGATGCTGATGATGATGAGGATGAGGTGGAGGAGGAGGGATGATAATATTGAAGGGCCGATGGAGGAGGATTGCGAAGTGGATGGAAAGGAGTTGGATCATATGAGCGACGATGATGACGATGATCAAGATGATAATGGTGGTGAAGATGGTGACGATGATGATAACGACGGAGGGCGCGGAAGACTGCGAGTGCGGGAAGGGGATGGCGAGGAGGACCGTCAATCAGCCACGCAATGGATCAGCGTGGTGCCGTGCAGCTTGGCAGCGTACAAGTGGGACTCGAGCTGCCAGCGCAGCCACAGCCAGGTTGCGGTGGCACGCGGCCGCAGGCACGCCGCCGCCCCCGCTGCGGTGGCCCGCCGCGCCGCTGCTCCTCCCAGCAATGCTCGTCAGTCTGCCGCAACCAGCGTCCCCGACACATTTTTTTTGTTTTTGTTTGTTTGTTTGTTTGTTTGTTTGTTTGTTTGTTTGTTTGTGTGTGTGTATACAAGGCTTGGTGGTAATAACCTTTAACGCGCCCGCCATCTGCCTCGCTGAGTTGGACCAGCAGGCCTCGGAGTAGAAGTGTGTGTGTGTGTGTGTGTGTGTGTTTGATTGCGTGTGGCTGCGGGGCCCTGTGGCCTTTGAGAGCTCGGGCGTCCCTAGACGTGCGCGCGTTTTTGCTGCTTTACGACCTTCTTCGCCCTGTCGCCGCGCGCAGGGCCGCGACGTCAAAGTGTGTGTGTGTGGTCGGCTTGTCCGTAGCCTTTGGGTCAAACTCTGACTCAAACCCCTGGCTCAAAATGTGGCGCTCCAGCCCCCGCGCGATGGAGACCGCGGCGGCGGCGACAGCGGGCGGCTGCCTCCGCCCGCGCTACCCGCGCTGCGGCTGGCGCGAGCCCCGCGGGCGCCGCTGGCGCCCCTGGCCTCGTGAGCGACGCGGGCACCGCCGGGGCTGCAGGCACCGCGTGCGCCGCCGGTGTCACCGGCGCTGGTGGCGCCGCGGTCGCCGCGTGTGCTGCTGGCGCCGCAGGCGCTGCCGGCGCTGCGGGCGCCGCTGGTGCCGCGGGCGCCGCGTGCGCTGCCGGCGCTGCGGGCGCCACTGGCGCCGCGGGCCCCGCTGGCCCCGCTGGAGCCGCAGGCCTTGTGGGCGCCGCGGGTGCCGCTCGGGCTGCTGGCGCTGCGTGCGCCGCCTGTGCTGCTGGCGCGGGTGCCGCTGGCGTTGCTGGCGCCGCGTGTGCTGCTGGTGTCTCCTGCGCAGCGGGCGCCGCCGACGCTGGGTGCGCTGCGGGCGCGGTTGGCGCCGCCTCCGCCGCCGCGGACGCCGTCGCTGCGGCGGCCGCTGCCGGGCTCTGGGCGGCAAAGGCCGCCTTCGCCCTGGCGGCGGCAACTGCGGCCCGCGCGGCGGCCCGGCCGAGCGCGCCACGTGGCCTAGAGCATGGAGTCCATCGTCGTCAGCATCGTGACGGACTCTAGCACGGCGAACGTGAGCAGTACGAGGAATTCCACCAACAGGATCGCCAGCAACATGACGGACTGTAGCAGCGCCATCGTGACCAGCATGATGGACCTCAGCAGCACGACCGTGAGCAGCGCGACGAACTCCAGCAACGTCACCCCGACCAATGCGGGCGAGAAAGACTGGCAGGGGCAGTACCAGCCGGCCCTTGCGCTGCTCCGAAAGAAGGTGGGAGTGGCGCTGCTCCTGCACCCGGACCATTGCGTGCGAGGAGGGATTGCAGGGACAGTGGCAGCTGGCCCCATCGCTGCTCCCAGAAATGTTGGGAGCGATGCCGGAGTCCATCATCAGCTGCTCCATCGCCCCGACCATTGCGGCCCGTGGCAGCTGGTGCTGGCGCTGCTTGGCGAGATGATGGGAGAGAAGTTGGGGCCCGCAGCGCCCCGATCGGCGCGTGCGAGAAGAACTGGCAGGAGTTGCGGCAGCCGATCATGGCGCTACTCCGAGAGTTGTCGAGAGTGAAGTTGGAGCCCGCCATCATCTGCTGCAGCGCCCCGATCAGCGCGGGCGAGAAGGACGGGCGGGAGAGCAGCGGCAGCCGATCCTGGCGGTGCTCCAAGAGATGTGGGGGGTGAAGCTGGAGCCCACCATCATCTCCGCAGCGCGTGCGAGAAGAGCAGGCAGGGGCAGCCGCAGCTGGCACTGGTGCTGCTTCGAGAGATATTGGGAGTGAAACTGGAGCCCGCCGCCATCTGATCCGGCGCCCCGATTAGCGCGCGCGAGAAGGACTGGCAGGGGCAGGGGCGGCCAGCCCTGGCGCCTCTCAGTGAGATGCTGGGAGTGAAGCTGGAGCCCGCCATAGAGTGATACATCATCTGCGACAGCACCCGATCAGCACGTGCGGGGCGAGCGCGCCCAGCGAGATGCTAGTTGCAAAGCTGGGGCCCACCGTCGTCCGCTATAGGGCCCTGGCCAGCGCGTGCGAGAGGGACTGGCAAGGGCAGTGGCAGCCGGCCCCGGCGTCGCTCCGAGATATGTGGGAGCGAAGCCGGATCCCACCGCCGTTTGTTCTAGCACCCTGATCAGTGCGTGCAGCAAGAACTGGCAGGGGCAGTGGCAGGTGGCCCTTGCGCCGCGCAGCGATATGCTTGGAACGAAACTGGGGCCCGTCATCATCTACTACAGCGCGTCAGGGAATTGATCCAGCGTTGGAAGCAGTGACGACCATGCGCAGCTCAAGCTTCTGGGTGGTCCCACATTTACTGCCATATGCATTTGGCATTTCTTCCATGCGACGTTCCATGCTCGAAGAAAACTGTTGCGCAATGGCCGTGGGTGCTGCAGTGTAGTCGGGGCCGTTCGGTACTTCAGGGATGAAACAGTTTCGGGTCGCCGTGCTCGTGTGCGTGATAGCGGTAGTGCTCGCCGATCAGCGGAACCATGTGTTTTTTTTGCATATTACCTCGAGCCTGGGCTAGATGGTTTGCCTTCAATGATGGCCTTCCCCGTCAGAATTTGGGCATATGACTGCATCCCGATCGTCCTCCTCGTTGCCCGACTCACCTGGGTGTTTGGCTTTCGAACTTGCGTTTGACCAGCACGAAATGGTGTAATCATAGTCGGGCGTTTCGTGATTTTGTTTGTTCAGACTCGCCCATCCCGTGTTCGCGGTATCACACCCTCAGTTGACAATTGGTCCCAAGGTGGACCGACACGCCGCGCATTTTGAGACTTAGCAGATGGCGCCTCGCGACTGATTATTGAACAGCAGAGTTTTCCCTCCAGTTGTGCGGTTCCTGGTCGTGGTTGTCCTACGCTTGGCTCGTGATTGTGGCGTGGTTGTCCCGCGGTTGCCTTTTTGGTTGTCTAGTGGTTGTCGGGTGGGCTGTCGTGTGGGTTGTCATCCCGTGGATTGTTTTGTGATTATTCCATGGGTTGTCCCATGGGTTGTCCTGTAGTTGTCCCGTGGGTTTTCCCGTTGGTTGTCCCATACTTGTCCCGCGGGTTGTCCAGTGGTTGTCCGGTAGGAAGTGCAAACCTACATGCCAATCAAGTTGCCAACCATGTGCAAGTCGGGACGATCGTCCTGACGGTTGTCCTGTTGGTTGTCACCATGGTGGGTCATGTGTTCGTTGCGTAGTTGTACCGTGGTTGTCCCGTGGTTGTCACGCGGTTGTACCGTGGCTGTCTCGTGGTTGTTCTTTTGTTGTCCCGTCGTTGTCCTGTTGCAAATGTAGAGAGGTAGTTGTCCCAACGGTTGCCTTGACGGTTGTCCTAATCGTGGTTCGGCGGTTCTTCCGATAGTATTCCCTATGGTTGTTCCGGTGAACCGCTGATTGCCCTCCCGATGGGTGCTTTCATGGTTGTTCCAATGGTTGTCCCGATGGGTGTCTTTGGGCTTGTCCGATAGAGGAGGAGGAGGAGGAGGAGGAGGAGGAGGAGGAGGAGGAGGAGGAGGAGGAGGAGGAGGAGGAGGAGGAGGAGGAGGAGGTCGATGGGTGGTCTTAACGGTCGGAGTGTTGAGGGGACTCCGGCGAGTTTCCGTCGCTCCCTCTGGCCGAATGAGGGGCTTGGGGCTTTCTTGCTTGGGGCGGCTTGGGCTTCCTTGCGGTCCTTTCGGAGCTTTTGTGGGGCGCGTTGGAGCTGTATCGGGGCTTTCTTGGGCCGTCTCAGGGCTCTTTTGGGCAGTCTTCCGGGGCCTCCTCGTCGTCTTTGGGGCTGTCTGAGGAAGTCCTGGAGGCTCATGGAGGCCCCTTGAGGCCCTCGGGGGCTTTCTTGGGGAAGTCTTCGGACCGCCTTGACACCATCTTGCCGCTCCCCTGGGGATACCATGGGACTTGCATATCCGTGTCGGTAGCTTTGACCGTGTTGGGGCTCCAGTTGGTTCCTCTTGGGGCGTCGGTCGCCACCTCCTTGGGAGTGTTCTCTCTCGCCTTTTTATCACAGCATGCCGGCATTCCGCCCTTCCGCGTACTGTGCCGAAGAGTACTGGAGCAATTTCGTGTGTGCTTTTTTTGTCCAGTTTGTTCCAGGAGGAGGAGGAGGAGGAGGAGGAGGAGGAGGAGGAGGAGGAGGAGGAGGAGGAGGAGGAAGGGCGTCATGTCTCCCTTTTTGTTCTCCGTAAGCGCTCTTGGCCCTCCCACGCCGCCCGTCACAGTGACATGCTTCACTGGAGTCGGCTACGCTTCCAGTGCAGTTCAGTGTGTTGAATCTTGCCCGTCTCGGCCAGAACTCTGTGTGGTATCTATATTCATCTTGTGCTGTCCCTGTGCAGTGTGCAAATGTGGATCTCGCGACCACGGTTGCCGTCTTCCAAGAACGTGTTGGCTGTCGCTCGTAGCCTCTTTGAAACGATGGAAAATATTGGGGTGCGTTTCCGATGAAAGCTTATCATAGGCCTGGCACCTCCTTTGGCACGTCGGTGACTGAGTGTTTTCCCTCGCCTATTCTTTCACAGCCTGCCGGCATTCCGCCCTGGCGCGTACTGTGCCGAAGGGTATTGGAGCAACATATATGTATTCATGTATGTATGTGTATGTATGCATGTGTAGACGTACGCAGATATGTCTACTTTACGTATGTTTATGTGTGTATTTGTATTGGTGTTTGTGTATATGTGTATATATTCTCATACGCACCTCTCCGAGGGAGTAGAGCTCAGAGGCGATTAATGCGCACGCGTCCGCGATTTTTCTGGGCGTTTCGCTCGGGACATCCTCGAAATTCTGAAAATCGGTGGCACCCCTCACGCAGATCGCGACGTCAGGGTCCAAAAACACATGGGAAATTCAACATTTAACATAAAACCTTCAAAAACACATGGTAATTTCAATAATTGTGACCCCGATTCTCAGTGAATGGCGGTTTCGCTTGAAAAATCCTTCCAAAATC